TCACCACACTGCCCCGCCTACACCTCTGATATCATCCAGCGAAATGGGGAGCAAAAGGAAGAGCAGATTGGCGGCCAAAAGCGACGCTACGGCGGCGTCGGAGGACAGCCGGCGGACCAGAAAGCGGACCTTGTCGGAGTCAGGCGGAGATTTCGCGGAGGACGACGTCACTGAGGAAGTCTCCGGCGGCGGCGACGACATTGAGAGTGGGTCCGCATCTGGTGGCGAGCTGGTGGGCGAGGCGGCGGAGGAGTTGCGGATTCCGGTTCGGAGGGTTGTCCGGAACGAAGATGCGGAGGGAGATGTCCGGTTTTTGGGCGAATCCGTTGCTGAAGAGGAGGCCAAGGCTCGGTGGCCCAACCGCTACCAGACAATACAAGCGTTGGATGATGTGAGATTCTTTCTCCCTCTCTCTCTCTCTCTCTCAATCACACACAATAACACACACTCACAGATGAATTGGTCCTTCAAATTTGTCGTTTATAGTGTACAATGGTTTGAGTGGGTCTGAAAAGTGGATTATGAACACGTTGTTTGGCTACAAGTGAATTTGTGGGGTTGTTCAATTAGCTTCCCGTGAGTGGATGCCATAATTAGCTACTGAAATAGTGGCGATGGGCTAACATTTGAACCGGAAATGTGATTTTCAAGTTCGTTTTATAATGGAAGAGTTGATAAAAATCTAATCTTTATCATTATCTTTTTACTAGTTTTGATGTGTATCGGTTTTTAGTGGGGTATAGTTGGGGCACACATCATAAACTTTGTATTATTTTAGTTCAAATTGCTAATGTAGCTCTATATATATCAACACATGTCATTAGCAATAGACAAAAGATGACCTACAACTTTAAACACTTCAACTTGTGTATTAATTGAGTCAAATAATAAGGATTAGTAAGACAAATTGGTTATGTTGCGAATTTATGATCTTATATTTTTTTAAATGGAAGACATAAAAAATCTCAAAAGCATTTTAGTTTGAATGATAAATAAATTCTAAAAAAAAAATGGAAAAAATAGGGTTTTTAAATTCAAAATTGAGTATTTTATGTTAGCAGCGCTTGGTTCTTCACGACCTGTCTTTGCACCATGAGGCACTTGTTTGGCTATTATAGTATTTGTCGTTAGTCACTGTTATTTGCGCCAGTCCTTTACTGGTGATCTCCCTGAGTAGGATTCTGTTCAGCTGTGTGGTTCTTGCAATAGCTATCCATTATAATTCATAGCAGATGGTTAGGGGGTGATTGGATATGAATTCAACTAGTAAAAAACTAGTTTTTTTTTTAACTATAGTTAAGTTTGATAAAAAGTAGTATGGTTAGTTAGTAGTTGATATATTAAAATAATATTTAAATTAAAATAATTAAAGTTGTTTTGATATAAAAGTAGGAGAAAATGATTGGAAGTGATGGTTAGTTAAAATTATATGAGTGTGTGAATAGTGAATTAAAGTTGATGTGATGTGTAATAATGATTTTTTGATATTATTTAATTATATTGATAATATTGGAGATAGTGGAGTTGAGTTAAAGTTGAGTTAAATTTGAGTTTTGAGTGGGATATTTACTGTAGAAAATATAAACAATCACACCCTTAATTTTTTTTAATCCCAGTAGCTCTTTGTTGAACAAGTGCTTGACTTCGAGTAGGTTACGTGTTAAGCAATAACTTGAACAAGTGCTTGACTTCGAGTAGGTTACGTGTTAAGCAATAACCTACAAACGTAACGTAGGTAAACAAGATCGAAGACACATTTCTCTGTCTTTAACATTTTGTCTTGATGGTGCCCTGCCTCCCAAACCTTGATTACAAAATGCGCCCACTAGCATGAGACATTTCCTAGTCCCTCATGTGATAGCAAACCTTTCACCATCGTCATCATATAATCTTTGTAGTATTGATGCGTAAGTGACGATGGTGGGTTGGACCCTGTTGCCAAACACCTCGGCTGTAATCTCGAGGATTTGCGAACCCAATAATGTGATGATTCTAAACATTGTGAACGAGCTCTGCAAGTGTCGTGGTCTTAAGACTGCCAGTTATATGTTGCGAGAATACCAATTGCAAGCCCGGCGTGTCAAGAATAGACGAGGTCTACAGGGTTATGGTCGAGATATTGGGCAAGATCTAGACAACCATCACTACTTAATTGTCTATACTGATTGTGTGATGTCGGTCGCATGTGAAGGGTTTGCTAGCCACGATGGGGGGCAATAGATTTCTAAACATGGTCGATGTTACGGTGTGTCTCACTTGGAAGGCATGGTTTCGGAGGTTGAGGGTATCATGAAGATAGTGATAGTGATACATGCGGTGCGTTGCTGGAAGGCTACTTCTTGACATGTAACTTGTTGAACATGGAGCAGTTGAGCTAAAAAAAGTCAATCATGTGCTATGCAATCATAATTGATGGTTATGGCAAGAACCACAAGTAGACATAGACCTGCCCCTCCTTTTTAGGGAGATCCCTCATGTAAAGGATTGACACAAACAACAACAACTAATGGGGAAGCACTTGCTGTTGTCGACTCATTTTTTTCGGCATTTTTCCACATCAGGCAAGTTTCGAAAGGTGTCTTTAGACACATAAAGCCCTTGGAGATTAGAAGAAACAGGGGAAACGAGTGCGGTTTTACACACATGAAGCGCACTGTGTGAACCTTGATGGGCCTTAGTGAGGTTCCATTCTAAAACCAATTGGTGGTAAGAAGAGGGGACCACTAGGTTTATAAGTTAAGGCCTATTGCACGTTCCCACGTAGAACCTGCTCTGATAAAATGAGTGCGGTCCCACGCATGTGAAGCGCACCATGACAGGTTGAGCTCAAATGAAGCTCAAGCGAGGTTCCATCTCAAAATCAATTGGTGAGAGGAGGAGTGGCCCACTAGGTTTATAAGTTAGGTGTATTTTTCTTGTATAAATGTGTGAGACAACTCACAAGCGATATTTTTTCTTCCTACACATCCCAAAACCAATTGGTGAAAGGAAGAGGGGCCCACTAGGCTTATAAGAAGTCTATTTTTCTTGTATAAACGATGTAGGACAATTTACAAGTGATATTATTTCTTCCTACACATCTATAAATACAACTAAATGTGATATTATATTTTTCAAAATCAAGCAAGTTCCAAAAGGTGTCTTTAGTTTGTATTGCTGCTATGCATAGGTGAACAATCATTTTATTTTGGAGGCGTTAATTGTAAATTGTTTGTAATTTATGGAATTATTTGTCTTAAGGAGTGCTTATATTTATGTCCCTCAACTTTATTTCTTTTGTTCAATTTTTTCAATTATTTTTAAAGTGGTTTTCCTTATATTTACACCTAACAATGAAATCTTATGAATGGGAGTATAATTAGTGCACAATAATCTCTCAACTGAATGATAAAATTTTTATTTTGATAAGAGGGATTGATTGGAAAATTTTAGTTGACTCTGTATTTGATGAGTTTGTAGTTGTCCAAAGTATTTTGAGTTTTACATCTTTCTTGAAATTTTTCATCAACAAATGTACTTCATTAGACCTCTAAGAATAGCATATAATATTGCCCATTTATTTTTGTTTTTCTAGAATTGTTTACTCATGTAAATGGTAATCAAATGTTAAATCTTCCTAGGAAGGGTAACAGTATGAAGTAAAGTAAAAAATTAAAAGAATAAAATATAAAATATTATTTAATGTAAATGGTAATCAAATGCTTAAATCTTCCTAGGAAGGGTGCCACTATGAAGTAATCTTGCCAAATAGAATTGGATGTTGATTATTTAGAAAACAATATTTAAATGAAAAAAAAATTAAAGAGTAAAAAATTATTGTTAGAGAAACAAATCTAGATTGTAAATGCATATGATGTAATGATTAAATTGATGTGATATAAATTTAGATAAAATATATGAGTGATGAATAGTAAAAATTATTTAAAGATGTGAAGTAATTATTATTATATTTATTTATTTGTATTAAAAAAGCTGAGGAGTAAAATTTGGCTAATATGATTCGTAACTTTTTATTTTTTATTTTTATTTCCAATTGTAGTTTTGTAGGGAAAAAATTATCCGAGAAGACTAAATCAATAATAATTTATATCAAGTCGCTCTCAAAAACTATTGCAACGTGATTCTTTTTGGCCAATTAAGCTTTTACTAGAGATCTTATATATTTATTTAACCGGCATGATTATAACAAAGTATTAATAATGGACGCAAGACAAATAATGATATTCACAATGTTACACCCCTGATTTAGTAGTTTAATGCCATCTTTGTCACTCTATCATTTGAGAATAGAAAAATAAGAGTGATAAACATAACATTTGTGGTGATTAGATATAGTTTTGTTCTCGATTTTGTTTGGTCATTGAAGATATAATTTATCAGTTATGAACTATACAAGAAACTTTTAGTCATCCACTCATATCTAAATTTCACTTATATATATATATATATATATATATATATTTTCATACTATGTAAACTCCCATTATTATGCTTTTATAAAATTGTTTTTAACTTCTATTTTCATTTTTCAACTATATTTTTTTTTACATTTTATTTATTTATTTATTTTTTCTCGTTGCATGTGCTTTATGTTCTTTACCTCTAATTCGAGCATGGAACTAAATTAAGTTTCTTAATTGCTTTTTCTCCTTTATTCCGTGGTCTTCTGTACAGTGGAGTGAGAGCGGATTTCCATTGCTTCACTTCATAGTTCATTTAACTCTGAATTACATGTGTATGATCATGACATTATTGTAGCCACATGAAGTTTTATCATTTGGATTGAATAAGCAGTTGACATGATATTGTGTTTTCATTTCCTTATCACGTGCAATATTTAAGTTTTGAGCGGAAAGCAAGATTTGGATGCATGTTCGATACACTATACTGGAGAGAAATTTTATTATTATTTGTATAAATTCACTTTTGATCTTTATACTCCTTTGTTATTTTAAATAAACTGCAGATTGTTTTTCTTTTCTTTGATGAACTATGTTTACTGTTGGATTGTTAAATCTTCAGTTGAAATCAATTCCATTATCTGAATATTTTGTGTTATGGTTTCTTTGCAGAATGTTTTGCAGGCTCGATGTCATTTTACTCAAGCAGAGGTTGATGGGCAGATTTTCTGCCTGGAAGACGATGCATATGTTATGGTGGGAGTTTCATTTGGTTCTTTCAAGTGTGCTTCCTATTCACATATAATGTTACAGTGCTTTTGGAGCTTCTTTGGTCTCATATCAACTTAATGTTCAATTAAGATATTTGATGTACCATTGTGTTTTTCAACCTGCATTTAATAAGCTAGAGTAGATTTTTTTAGTTGGTTGCATTGATTTTTCACATAAGCGTGCTGAATATTGTGTATAACGAAGTTCTATATCCTTTAGTCTGAAGAAGGCAAAGAAGACTACATATGTAGGATTATTGAATTCTTTGAAGCAGTTGACGGTTCAAAAAATTTTACTGCCCTATGGTATTACAGGGCTTCAGATACGGTGAGACTCTGAAAAATCTTGTTCCAGTTTTACAGCTTTGAAGATATTTCATTGTCCTGAAGTGGGGTTTGTTTTTCTTTGGTCCTCTTTGTTAGGATATCAAAACTTGTGGCGACCTTATTGATAACAAGCGCATATTCATTTCTGAAGTCAAGGATCATAATCCTATTGATTGTCTAGTGAAAAAGCTTAGAATTGTGCAATTATCTCCTGAGGTATGTTTGTACACGTTAAGCCATTTCTTCCATATTGTAGCATAAGAAGTGGGCATATGAATTTTGTTCCCACATGTTTGCAGGCTGAATTTAATGTGAAGAAGCTGAGATCAACATATGATTATTATGTTGATAAGAAGTATTTGATTCCATACACTTCCTTTGTAAGCTTACCTTCAGGTACAAAATACCTTTTGCATGCAATTTATTAAGCCTTGTAATGGCGTTCCCATAATTTTTCTTTGTCGTTCTTGACTGTTATGCTTGAGAATATTTTATGTGAATGGTTTTCTGGTCTGCAGATGCAACTACAACCAGCAATGAATCTGGTTCTACCATCTCTAGCGATGCTGATAATTTACCTGGCGGATCTTGCGAACAAGATGATCACCATGGTGAGAAAACAATGCTCGATCTATACTCTGGATGTGGTGCCATGTCAACTGGACTTTGCCTTGGTGCAAATAGCTGTGGTGTTAAACTTGTGACTGTAAGTTTTCACCTTTTACATAATTCAGTCAACTAGCAGTTCTTTCTACAAAGAGAATCTTGCTATCATTTTAATGCACCCTTTTATTATTCGATACATGATTTTGAAAATCTTTATGTCTAATGTCTTTTCGCAGAAATGGGCTGTTGACATCAACCCATATGCCTGCGAAAGCCTCAAATTAAATCATCCTGAAACTCAGGTGCATACCTGCTTAGGTTTATATTTAGTATTTACACCAACTTCAACCGTTTGTTAAGTTTATGCATGATTTTAATCTTGTAATAGGTGAGAAATGAATCTGCTGAGGATTTCTTGAGCCTGCTTAAGGAATGGGAACAGCTGTGTCAAAGATATTTATCAGCAGAGAATAATGGTTTGACTCCTGATGATGGAAATTCTAATGACAAGAAAGATGGTGAAGATGATGGTGAAGATGTTTCTGAAGCATCATATGAAGTTGAGAAGATTCTCGCCATTTGTTATGGTGACCCAAATAAAAACCGCAAGCGTCGACTCTATTTTGAGGTAACAGAGTGAGCTTGTTTTATGATCCTGATGTTTTTAAGCATTTCATATATTTTACTTAACACAAAAAGAATAGAGTCGGTGGAGTTTCCTTTGTTTTGTTTTTAACTATCCAATTCTTATAAAGAAAGGTCTCCAATTACTAGGTGACTGATTTAATTGTTCAGCTAGTGCACAAAGATTAATCTGGAGGTATTGTATGGTGGTATCAATCCAACAGTTACCTCTTGAAATTAGCTAAATCAAGTGTTTCACTTTGACTTTGCTTTTATGTTTACTGGGCTTTATTACTTCGGCTACTGATGCTATTTTTGAATGATTCTATCCATGAGATAAAAATGCAATGAAGGATGACTTTGTGTACTTTATGGTTCAAAAGAAGTGTTCTTATATTGATAAACATGTATTGTGTTGCTCTTAAATGTTAAGGCACTCGTTTCTCTTGCATCTTTGGTGCCTGATCACCAACGGAACTTGTTGCTTAGTACACCTTGGGATTATCCATGATAAACTAATTAAATGTTACACTTCTTCCTCATGATGTTTTTAATTACCCTTCATCTAATGCATTCTTTACCCTATAATCACAGATCCGCTGGAAAGGTTATGGCCCTGAAGAAGATACTTGGGAACCGTTGGAGAATTTGAGGTATAAAAACATGATTTTTTTTCTCCTTCAACCAGGATACTATCACGGAGATTATTACGTTTCTAACATATTTTATAATTTTTTACTTACTAGTGACTGCCCAGAAAAGTTGAAAGAATTCGTCATAAATGGTTACCAATCTAAGATATTGCCTTTACCCGTAAGTCTTAGCTGCCTTTACAGCAACCCCCAAGTTCTTTTTTTTTTTTTTTTTTTTGNTTTTTATGTGAATTATCATAATGGCTAGTTTTCTTCATGCTCCGTAGGGTACTGTGGATGTGATATGTGGAGGACCTCCTTGCCAAGGCATTAGTGGTTTCAACAGATTCCGGAACACAAAAGCACCTCTCGAGGACCCTAAAAATAAACAGCTCATTGTTTTCATGGATATCGTGGACTATCTGAGGCCTAAGTTTGTGTTGATGGAGAATGTTGTTGATATTCTCAAGTTTTGCAATGGTTATCTTTTTAGATATGCTCTTGGCCGCTTAGTTGCAATGGATTATCAAGCAAGGATGGGTATGATGGCTGCCGGTGCTTTTGGTTTGCCTCAGTTTCGCATGCGTATGTTCATGTGGGGTGCACTTCCAACTGAGGTGATGTGATTTTCCTTTCGTCTTATTTAGAAGCTTCATGCATTATGTACTTGGTAAAGATTAATGAACAAGATTTTCTCAAATCTTCCATTTTTCTCCCTTATTTTTTTTTCAATCCAGAGGTTACCTCAATACCCCTTGCCTACACATAAAGTCATAAACAGAGGTGTTGTTCCACTCGAATTTGAGGTAAATAATGACAGCTAATTTCTTGCCTTTAAGTCCTTGCTGTACAATTTAATAGCTCGGTTTGAAAATTGTATTTTGCAGGGGAACACAGTTGTGTATAATAAAGACCAAGAAGTCAGTCTCAAGAAAGAACTTTTTCTTGGTGATGCAATATCTGACCTCCCAGAGGTATGGGCTAATCTTGTGTTTTTCACACTGAATAAATTGAATGTTACAGATTGTTTACAGGATCTTTTATTTCTCAATTCCTTTTGTCATAAGGTTGAAAATAACGAAAAAAATGATGAGATTCCTTACAGCTTGGAGCCCCAAACAGAATTCCAGAGGTTTATAAGATTACCAAGGAATGGTAAGCTTCTGCTTCATTTACTGATCGTACCAAGTTAATTTGTGCCATTATTTGCCTCACTGCCAAATTAGTTAAATCATTTTGCGTGCTGTTGCAAAACTAGAATTGAAAAGTAACTTACAGTTTGTAATCAGTCTCAACTGGATGTTTGCTGATTTCTCTGTGAATTGTAATGTTGCACTTCTACATATTCTTCCATTGCTTTACAGCTTTGTCGTGTTTGATCTTTTTTTATTCAATGTAGAAATGCCAGGCTGTTTGGCATTGAGCTCTGAAGAGTTGGGACATAATTTGTACGATCACCGGCCTTTTCAGCTTAACCAGGATGACTATGAGCGTGTTTGTCAAATACCTAAAAAGAAGGCATGATGGACCTATTGCTTAAATTGACAATATTAGAAAAAAATCCTCATATCCTTGTTTTATTTCAATTTTTTTGTCAGGGTGCGAATTTCAGGGATCTACCAGGTGTTCGGGTTCGTCCCGATAACAAGGTTGAGTGGGACCCAGAAGTGGAAAGGAAAAAAGTATCTTCTGGGAAGTTTCTGGTGAGGTTTCATTCAGTACACATTCTTTTTTTTTTTTTNCTTCAATACATCTTTTGTTAGAAAATCTCATATGGTACTTAAAGGAGACTTTCAATTTTTGTTACAACTTTTGCTGCAGGTGCCTGATTATGCCATGACGTTTGTAGGAGGAACTTCTTCAAAGTACGGTAGCAATTTCGATTTAGTTTTCCTTTTTTTTTGGTTTCTCTTAAGAATCTGACTTGCATTATTGATGACTTATTTTGTCACTCATTCAGGCCATTCGGGCGTTTGTGGTGGGATGAGACAGTACCAACAGTTGTTACTCGGGCCGAACCTCATAATCAGGTAAGAACAGTAACAAGTTGGAAAATGATAGCCAAATTTGATCAACTATTTCGATTTTCACTGCAAATGTGTGTAAACTTTGCAAACTTGCTTCAGGCAATTCTGCATCCCCTTCAAAACCGGGTTCTTAGTGTTCGGGAGAATGCTAGGCTGCAAGGCTTTCCAGACTACTACCGGCTACTTGGCCCGGTAAAAGAAAGGTAAACCGTAAATGTCATTGTTTTTACGTATTTTTACAGCGTATTTTCACCTTGCAATTAAGTGCTAATTTTGCAATGGTTTTTTGAATATGTCACATATAAAGGTACATTCAAGTAGGAAATGCAGTTGCTGTGCCTGTTGCTCGTGCATTGGGATATTCTTTAGCTTTGGCTTTTAGAGGATTATCGGGCGAAGGCCCGTTATTAACCCTACCCGATGATTACCCGGCCGTGAAAGTCTTACCTTCTCCGGCTATTTTAATGGAGTGATTGTGAAATGTGATTGTGTTTTGATAATTTATTCCAAGAAAGGGTAAAATAATGTATATGTTTTTGCTGCAATTTAACTCAATTAGTGTGATTGGACACAGCTTTTGTATTTTTAGTAGTTGACGTTGATTTGAACAAATGACATTATTCTGTAATGCTAGTAAGGTACTACTATTTTGTCTAAGAAGGATGTTGAACTTGAGTTTTGCTAATATTCCTTGTATTTATGATTTTTTTTTTGATGTCTGTAACTTATAAGTATACTCTGTGATATTCATTAAGATTGTAAAATATATTAACTTTAAAATCATTAATTAAATTACAATTATATTCGTTCACGTAAGGTCCTCTTTAAAGTAGAGCAATTTCAAGTACTGTGATTGAACAACATAAATTACCTGAAAAGTTGAAACATGAAAATTACTATAATTTATCTTATAACCGATAGGTAGACTAATTATTACACTCAAAAATTTGTGACTCGACATTTTGGATTATAAAGTATCTGTAAATTAATCGAAACAAGAAGAAAAAGAATACAGGAGAACATATGATGAAGATTAAACAGAAGCAGAATACATAGAAACTTAACAAACAAAACAATGTTAATAATTATAAAATTAAAATAATATTGATAAAAAAAAAAACTTGAAAAATAGTAATAGACTTGCCAAAGACTCAGGCTTGCTACAGAGTGCACACAATTTGAAAAAACCGCACAATGCAAGGAGGAAACACTCGCTGCTGGTCACCCATCGTAAGCCGGTATACCAACACCCAACCAAACACCACAAGCCTCGCCAGTCGCAACAACTCATTTCATTTCTATTCAGAGAAAAACTCTGGCTCCTTTAACCGAAACATTCATTACGCACACTTTATACAAGAAACCTTTATATGGAGCTGAAGAGCGAGTACAAAACCAGTCAAACACAAATAAAACCCCTCAGGAAATTTCCCCTTCCTCCAGTTCTTCTTCTTTGTTCATAAATAATTCGTCATTGCACCCAAAATCCAACTCTGGACACACGTCAGTCATATCCAGGTTGAAGTCCAAGTCGAAATCAAAGTCACCAATCTCGTTCAGTTGCTCTATGCACGATTTCCCCTCGAGATTTGCTACTTCCTCGATTGTCTCGAATTGCGGGCCCCACTCCAACTCTTCCTGTGCTTTCTCAGTTCCCCTTATTGCGCAGTCTTGGTTCGTGAGGTCTGAGATCAGAGGTTCCGACAAATCAGCATCCTCGATTTCTTCCTCTTTAAAGGTCACGCCTTTATTGGTCGGGCTATCTTGACAGGTGGCGGGCTCCTTGATCGTGTCCGGTTTACTTAACGTGACGTGTTTTATTACGTCAAAATCAAAGGTGTGGGAAGGTAGGTAGACATGGATTACTGGGTACTCGAGGATAACTGTATTTGCCAACTGTTCGCGAATTGGTGCCCTTATGTTTAGTTGCAAGAAAGGTGATTTTGATCCCTACATGGAGAGAAAAAGAAAAAGAAGAAAAAAAAGGCGAGTGATTGGGCAAGTGAAACGATCCAAAATCCATGGGGCAAAAAATTATGATTATGATGTATTTTGGCTTTCAAACTTCAATGTGATGTTCTTTATTTTTTCTTTTTTATATTTCAATACAATTTTACCTTTTATGATTTCGCTTAATAGTAACTCCCCCTCGGAAAAGCTTTTATTTCACATAATTTATTTTACCAGGTGGAACAAGTAAATAAAACAAATAAAAAGATCTCACAATTCACTTTTTCCTTTTGAAACCAAAAGCAAAGTATAAATCTTGAATTAGTTCACAACCAAGACATAAACTGAATCAATAACAGATCAAAGTAGAAAACCTTTGGATATTTTCGGATGAAAAACTTGAGAGAGTCCAAGGCCTCGTCGCAAAACTGTTTCAATGGGTGATTCCATGGACCGGGTTTCAGATGATTTTCAATCACAGAGGATAGAGTTGTGTTCTCATGTATTCTGCAGGAAAAAATAAATAGAAAAAATAATCAAATGATATTAGTATATTACAGAATAAATAAATAATTCGTGTATCTGTAAATATACTAGCAAATATCCTCACCCATGATCGAGCAACACGACATCAGTTGAATGAAACCGCCACTCGATGGTCCACAATATGAACTTCTTCCTGGAAAACAAAAGCCAAAAGAATCGAATTCTTAATAATCGAGACAGAGTGTCAAAATATTGACGCTATAAAGATAAAGTCTTGTTCTTTATTAATGATGGTTGCGAATTTCCAGTGGCAGACACAAATCTCGTACAAATCACCTGTAGTTGTAGTAAGTCTTATTCTTCTGCCTCTTGGACATTCCACTAGAAAGAAATAGCAGTTTCGTTCTACGGCTCGTGGCAGCATATTTAAGATTTTTAAGGGGTAAAGGAAGCTTAAAATGTGAGTTTCCACACAACTTCATTCTCATCCTCTGAGCTGACTCGGCAATTCTTTTCACGTCCTCGAGCATGTTATAATCTACCAAAACAAAGATAACGATAAAAAAGAAATAAAAAAAATACTAACAAATGGCAAAGAAGGATAAAGAGCATTTGCACATATCCACTTTGAGCTTTTTTAACAAGTCTTTTAAAAAGACAGCCTTTGTTCTCACCTGAGACTACTTAATTCCCCAGAAACAATAATGAAACAGCTAATATACAATAATGTACAGAGAACTCAATCGAGGGAAGGAGGATGCAAAATGCTAACTGTAAAGGGTGCAATAAATTCAACAAATTATCAACAATATTCAGACCACCATAACAACCGATCATAAAGCATGCATTTTTATCAAACTAAACATTCAAAAATTGGAAACCCATGCAGCATCACAAGTTACTGAATACACCGAAATGCCCAAGACTCGAATTTTCCAACAGAATGTACAAACTTTTTAGGCAGCTCTGAAATATGCATGCATAAAATATGCATTTTTATCAAACTAAACATTCAATAATCAACTGATCAGAATCCCGTTCAGCATTACAAGTTATTTGATACACCTAAATACACCAAGACTCAAATTTTACATCAGAGTGCACTAATTTTCAGCTGCAGCTACGAAATACGCATGCATAAAATATACAATTTATCGAACTAGACATTCAATAACTAACTGATCAGAAACCCATATAGCATCGCATGTTACGCCATACACCGAAATACCCCAAGACTCAAATTTTCCATCAGCATGCATCAATTTTCAGCTGTATCCATAAAATACTTGCACCAAACAGTACACTTAAAGTGGGTTATCTAATTTCTTCAAATTTGTAAATAAACCAACCTGAAATTAAGAGATTATCATCGAACTGTGATATCGGAACGAAGCTTGTGACGGGCCTTTTTCCGGTACAGGCGGTGCGTATCTTGTGGGAATTGACGCAGGGGAGGCTGCAGGAGCGGATGGAGCAGCCGGGGCACTTGTACTTTGACGGGTATAATTTGCACTCCTCGCATAAAATTGGCTGCCGTTTGTTGGCCGGCGACGAGAGCTCCTCCATTTTCTGCTCCATTGGAGCTCGAATTTGAAGGAACAGAGACGAAAGGGGCTGAAGAGAGAAGACTTTGATGGTTTGGTTTTAGGGTTTTTGCTCGGAGGGGTTTAAGAAATTGCTGCACGCTGCAAATTGTGTGCGGATGCAGTTACACGAGCTTTAGAAAACAGTGAAAGTTCAAATAATTAACATAAACTAGTAAATATCATGTGCACATGCACATATGTACATAAAATATTATAAGTACTATTTGAAAATTTAATATTTAAATTTTAGATAATAAACATATTATATTTTTAAAATTTAATTATTAAGAAAAATAAATTAATGATTATTTGTTATTATGAACAACTATTTATTATCATTAGATAATAACAGTTTGATTATTATTATTATTGTTATTATTATTATTATTATTATTATTATTATTATTATTACAAAAATAATTGTTTATAAGATTCTAAAGTTGTTTGACTATGCTATTAAAACAATTTACTAATTGTTTTTAGAATTTTTTTTCATGAGATACAAAAGAAAAAGATAATATTAAGCACATGAAAATATTTGTTAACCAAATATAAAAGCTTTTTGTTCGAAAATAATACACAATATAATATTAATTTTGTACATCATATAAAACACATGAAAACTTTTATTTGTGTATTAATAGAATAGTAATTCTAAAATATACAACTCAATAATTAATATGAAATATGGAAAAATAATAGCAATAAATTATTATTTTTGCTATTGTTGGTTCATCATTTTAAATCTCAACGTTGAATTATAATATTCATGCAATTTCCCAAATTAGATTAAATTGTGTGTCAATTGACACCTTTTAAACCTTTAACAAAGAGCTTATTTGGTTCAAATATAAGTATGGACTATGGAAACTAAAATCACACAATATATGGTAGCGTAAACGATCTCAACTTGCTCAAACGACTTGGATATGCTCAGGATCGGTTCAAAGATTTGTAAAACCGTCGGGAGTTGTCCCGTCGTAGAAGGTTCGACGCTCAAATTCGTGAATAGTGGTGAAGAAGACGATGAACAAAACTATATATAGCTTGCAAGTATATTAGAAAATGTAAAGTGTAAGTGATCATACTTCTTTATATATAAGTATTACTTTGTTGTTCAAGACTGTCCGGTTGGGCTGCTCGAGTGCCTAAGCTACCCGTTCGTACTGTCCGAGTGCTCAAATTGTGCTATTCTGTTAGACCACGTGATCCTATCCACATGTTATTCTTATCTTAGTTATATTCTTTACTATCTATTATGTAGTATGTTCATATAAGACTATTTCATTAGGTAGTCTAACTATGCTTCCCGCTCGGATTCCTCTGAACTCCAGTGTTCTTTATGAGGTCACCACCGACCTGGTGATTCCTTGACCTCCAGTGTTCTTGATATCTGGCCGACCTACCAATTCACCTTATCCAGTTGGACCTCTCTTTAGGTTGTTTACGACTTGGTATAGTACCCTATATCATCTGCTTCCCTCCTTCCCCTACTCTGATCGAGTTAGGATAACTTGATCTAAGAGTTGAATCAATTGTCCTTAGTCGTATTTATTGAGCACGTAATGCGTTTTGCGGATCTACCAGCTCGACCTTTATTTTCCTTCTAGCTCGAAACAACCCACTCAACCTAGGGTTAAGGTTTTGAGTTCAAAATTTAAAAATCAAATTCATGACACTAGTCCAATCGTCCTTGCAAACGGTCACTCGACCACCTCTTCACCTTCTCAACTTCCAATCTCGGTCGTTCATTTCATCCTTCATCGTACAACCGAGGTCGATTCTTGGAATTCTTTTCTCCTTTGCCTATAAATAGGCTTCCTCGCTCTCCATTTTTCACCTTTTGCAATAATTTCCTATTATACATTTTCTGCAAGAAGTTCTGCCTCCTTCGCCGTTGATTAACTGCCGACCACCGCATTTTATTGCTCTCAGACCAACTTCCGATTTCACTATGTTGGTTAGTAAGTTATCTCTATCTATCTTTTGTTAATTGGTTTTTTGTTTGCGATCTTGAATTTTTGCTCTTTGGCCAATTTTTCATCCTTAGAATATGTTTTTTTTTTTTGTTTATGTTTAGATTCTCGCACAACCAACAACTCCTCTATTGACACTGTTGACGGCACATGATCTCCCCTTATTCTCCTTCTACCTTTTCATCTCCTTCTTTTTCATCTTCTTATTCTATTAAATTAATTCCCCAGTCTGCTCTTTTGTCTTCCCGTCCTTTTCACTAGGTCGATGAGACTGAGAAGGATATAAAGTCACTTCCCTGACCTGCATATGGACCTAGCTCAATTCATATTGCAAAACCTCTTCCAAATGCCTCCCCTAGTACTGTCCAAAGTCTCAGTTGCTCGCAAATCGATTACTTTTCTTTAAGTAAACGAAGATCAGCTAAAGCACTTTTATATATTTAGCGAGATGCCCATTGGCTATCACTTTATCACCCCACGGCCTTTAGATATCTATGACTAACCTTTTACAGGGTGTTACACCTTTTTATTATACCAAATTGAGGGTGGTCTCATATTTTCCATCGATATTAGGATGTTGGTAGTTTTCTCTCTCCTTTCTTATATTAGCTTTGGCCATGTTGACCTCTAGTTTTTTAGATATTGCATTGGATCTAAATATAAAAAAAGGACCACATAACATCTCGAGTTGTTATTGGGATTTTGCCCAATGTAACTGCCTGAAAAGCTAGGTTTTTCTTCATTCGACCTACCGAACCTTTTTCTTTCTCTTCCAAGTGGCTAACCGAGCTACCTTTTCACCTCGAACTCCACCCCCCGCCCCGGAATAAGACATTCGACCTGATTATCACTTCTTGGAACAAAATACCAATAAACTCAATTTTAATGATCGATAAACGAACAACTACTATCTCATTGAGGTTTGCTAGGCGAAACCTTCCACTCATTATTGATTTTGGACAGATGGCTTGGGGCAACTTATCTTTCAAACTTTGATTGCAGTAAGTCTGATAATATTACTTATAGAACGAGGACAAAGGGAGTGGGCTCGATCAGTTTGGGAAGGAGATGGAGCAGGAAGGAATGCTCAACTAAGCTTGAATTCAAGTATTTTAGCTAAGCTACTTCCTTCCCTATATTATTCCTTACCGGATTGGTTGAAATATCTTCTCTTACGAGATTTCTCATTGGAAATTGACATATCACCGACGATACAAACGAAGCGAAGTGAAGGAGGTTTTCCAAAGTGATAGTGGTTTGTAGGAAGGCCGACCACTACCTTGAGATGAGTCGATGTTCTCAAGGTCGAAAGGTTTGCTCCCCTTGGGGTCGATTAAAGCAATAAGTGTGAAAGGCAAGAACAAGCTTGAATTAATATCTTTTGCGTGTTTGATTTTTCTTTTCTTGCGACCTGAATTGATTATTTGTTTTGAGTAAAGAATATGCTCAAGTTCATGTAGTCGACTTCTTTCACCTTGAGCCGTAAGAGGAAAGCTCCTTCGACCTCTGGTGGAGGTCGCTCTGAGTCCGAGGGACTCTTAGTTGAGTTTGGTCCGATGAGACATACGACCAAGACAAAAACATATGTACCTTCTCATCCTCCTCACTAGATGACCATTGGCCAAAAAACGTCGAGCTCGAATCCTGCAGACGGGATTTCAAAGAAGGCTTATGTCGAGGAAGTAGAGGTCGACGTGACGATCACCTGGTACCTTATGAAGGTCTTGCCTTCTACATAGACCATGCACTGGGCAACAATGAAAAAGGTTGTGCCAAGTATGCAGCTAAATCTACTGCTTAGGCCTACCTTTATTCATGGACCTTACTAATAACTTATCCGTAAATGTCTTCTTACCTTTTTTTTGTTTTACGACTTTTATCCGCATTTGTTCTCCTACTCGACGAGCAGTTGTGTCGCTCTTCTCCCTCCTACCAGGACCTCGTCGCCGACTTGAAGAACATGAAGAAAGAATATGACGAGTTGACCAAGAATATTTTCAATCGAAAATAGAGCTCGCCATAGTATCCTTCGAGCATGACGCTGCTATTAAGAATTTTGTTAAACAAAAGAATGAGGGGATGCAAACTGCGAGAAACACAAGTTAGACAATAGGTCGTTAATACTTTCGCATGTCTGGAGTGGGGGTGCCTTTGTGGAGTCCTTTTCGCGAGTAGGTCATGGAGGACTTCTGCAAGTCCCGATGAGCAGACCGAAGTTTTGACATTCAGTGGATAAGCCTTCCTCTTAGGCCGTTCATCGACTTGCAGACCTCCAAGTCGAGTTTTTATCAAGCTAGCCGAGAGCCCTAGCTTAGTCTATTGGCGGGTTCACTTACCTTGTGAGGTCACCATGGAGCTGGTGATTACTCAACCTTCGGTGTCCTTGATGTTTGGCTGACCTACAAGTTCATCTGCTCCAGTCGGACCACTCTCTAGGTCGTATACGACTTGGTATGGTATCCTTAAAATATAATAATTTTTCATTCATTAAGACTGCACATTATAAGTATTTGAAAGTTACTATATTATACAAAATGGATTTAAATTTCTCATGGGAGTAATATTTACATGCAATTTATGTCTCTTTTATTTTTATTATATTTGTGTGAAATTGCATTTTGTTGCTAAGGATGGTTGAATTAATGGGTTTAATAACTAAAAATTGTGATGGATTAATACCATATATCACTGGGTTTTATAACAAATAAAAAATAAGTTTGTGAACGAGTTCGACTCAACTAATTTTACTAAATGGTTCGAGTTTCTTTCGCTTACTTGACTTGACGATCAGAGTTTGATCTTTCACAAACCGAAGCCACCAGGAACCAGGGGCGGATTTATGTGCAGCATAGGGGGGGCCATTGTCCCCCCAAAGTTTTAATTTTTTTTAATATATATATGCATTTTACCAAAAATTTATTCTTTTTTACCATGTAGAATATATACTTTATATATTATAAGCATATAGAATTTATGTATGTACTCCATAATTATTACTAGTTATTAATATAATTTATATACTAAGAATTTTTAACTGTATTATATTTTTGTAAGTAATTTTGCACTCTTTAAATATAATATTTGTATTTTTCTTCTTATAATATAGTAATTAATTAGTGTATAAAATATGTGAAATGGTGAAAATAAATAATTTTAAATAGAAATTTAAAAAAGAAAAGAATTATTTGTATATAGTCAATTGTCAATGAGTCTCGTGATTTAAAATAATGTGGAACACAATTTTAAAATATCAAAGGTCAGCAGTTATGTATATTGCGGAATATTTTTTAATTTATGCTATCGAACTTATATTCTTTGTAAAAGTGTTATTATTAAATATTTATATTCTTTGTAAATATTTTTTAACTCATATAAAATGTGATATTATTAAATATTTATATTCTTTGTAAAAGTGTTATTGGAGTAAAGTTGAATACCTCATGATCAAGTTCGTGTTTGTTTAATAAATATGTTGGGTTGGCTTGACTCATTAAATAAACGGAAAAAAAAAATGTGAGCCTAAGCTCGATTCATTTAATAATCAATGATTTGTTGTTTGAGTTTTTACGGATCAATTCGAGTTATAATCGCAAATAAATTATTTCAAATGACAATGTTAGTCCCCTCAAAAAAAAATTCTGGATCCGCCTACCACGAACCGTTGGGCTCGTTTAGTCAACACTTTTTTCGGATTTTTCTACATACAAATTGTTTTATTCGAGCCATCTCCAATTCGCACGTGCGATTAAAAAGCAAGGCAAAGAAAGTTATGCAACAAGAAAATAAAAAATCAACAAAAAAAAACCCGGAACTCAACCTTGCCCCTTAACCCGATTGCAGGAAGGCATATCACGTCCGCCACCCCCAAAACAGGAATACACACTCGAAGGCCAGCAATGCCCCAAATTCGATTCGCTTGAATCATTCATTTGCTCGGCGAAGGTTAAATCTTTCCAAGTTTTGTTGGGCAGCTAGTGCGATTTCGTGAAATTCTAGTGTTTCCTCGTTTTGAGCTGGGATAAATTGTGCATCTTTGTTCCGGAGTAAAGCTTGCTATGTCATTCCAGCAGGACGACAGTAGTGGTGAGTTTTTACTTTTAAGGGACCTAAAAATATTGAAGCTTTTGGCCTAATGCAATAAGGGTCTGCAGTGATTGGTGCAGTTTATTTTCGCTAAAGGTTATTGAGTGGAATCTGATTAGGGTTTGAGTATTACAGGCATTGTTTGTTCTGCTGACATTGTAATGACTTGGATTATGTCATAGAAACTCCAAAGTTCGTAGGATTAATTTTTGAAATTTTCCTAAAAAAAAATGTACTTGCTCTTTCCTTTGGGAAATGTTTGGTTTTCTGCTGGAGAAAAGTATAACTGGTGGTGAGTGAAAAATGGTTTCTTAAAGAAAAAAAGAAAATTGTTTTGTGAGCACTGGGAATTGGAGTCTTGGCTGCTTGAGGTAAGCTGATTATGTTGTGCAAAATTTGACATTGGATAAATTTGTGGTAGTTGTGGTGGAAGTTGATCAAGATAACTCGAAAAATATGTTTTTTTTTTCTCATTAAGCATTCACTGTTAGCAAGGCTGTCAATTCTTTCATTAGTTTTAGAGTAGGATGATTTTTATTGATTGTGGTTTTTATCTCTTAGTGTTACAAATTACCATTGGCACTTTATTTGGGAATCATATGTAGTATACACTTTATTAATGCTTGTGGTTCAGTTAAGTGCAGTGACCTGGGACACCTTTAAGCGTTGTGGTATATTGCAAGGACTTATGTGTTCAAAATATTGTTTTAAGGTGCATTTTTGCATCGGTCATAAGTAAAATATTCCTGGATTAATGCTTAATAGGTCCTCTTGAACACGATGCAACTTCAGCTTCTTGACGTTTCCATATGTGTGCATTATTTATCCCTACCAATTGTTGTTTTCCGGATCATTGTTATCTTGTTGTGTGTTTCACTGGATCACACCATGTATGTCACAGTCGATCAACTTCATCATTGATTTATTGGATCTTGAGAAATTAAAAAAAATCTGTTTTTCCATGGATGTGGATTGTGTTGCTCTTACTATGAGGCACATGCTAGGTTAGTTCTGTAAGGTGCATTATTGATGTGCAACTTGGACCAATCCCAGCCAATGATCTGTCATTAGTGAATTAGGAATTAAAGTTGAATTATATAATAATTGTGTATGCCAAATTTTGATTCTCTTATATTATCGTTATATATCATTGCAGATACGCCTGATGTATCACCACAGCCGCACCAAAATAGAATGTCGAGGGGTGGCCGGATTTCCGGCAATGGAAGGCCGGCGGCCATGGCTTCTCACCCTTTCCCGAGAAATATGTATGATGACAACAATATGGAAGCAAAAATCCACCAGCTCGAGCAAGAAGCGTACAGTTCTGTTCTTAGAGCTTTTAAAGCTCAAGGAGATGCTATTACCTGGGTAATTTCTTCAACTTACTGTAATACATGAATCTGTTATAAGTCGGTATTTGTTTTATACATATGCTAAATGAAAGTTCTTTCTCTTTTGGATTTTGTTTTTCAGGAAAAGGAAAGCCTAATAACGGAGCTCAGGAAAGAATTGAGATTATCCAATGAGGAGCACAGAGATCTTCTAAGCAGGGTTAATTCAGATGAGACAATCAGAAGAATAAGGTTTTGTCTGATTTGTGTATGCGGTTCCTAGATTTCGATTCAGAAAGTCATTTCAACCTCTTAATCGATAAATGATCAATTCTCCCATTTACCAACCATAAATTTATTCTCTTTTTTTTTTTTTTTTCNTTTTTTTTTTTTTTTCTTGGAAATTATACTAGGGAGTGGAGACAGTCGGTTGAGCTTCAAGCAGGCATTCACGGTGCTAGTCAAGGGGCAGCTGCACATGATCCGGCACCCAGTCCTTCTATCTCAGCTTCTCGTAAAAAGCAAAAGTTGGCCCCATCATTGCCTTCACAATCCTTTGGTGGGCCATCTCCTTTTCCTCCACAGCCGATGGCCCCAACGAATCAACCCTTGTCCTCGGCCTCAAAGCGTGGTCCCATGATGGGAGGGAAAGGCAAAAAACATAAATCAGTGAGTTCGAAGTTTTTTATTACCAACTTATACCATGAATTTCTTTAGTAATTTCTCGGTTACTTGCAAATAATACCTCTGAGTTTTTGCGTATTCACTGAAAATCTCTTGAATATCTTTTGAGAAAAAACCATCTTGGTATTTGTTTCTATTTTGTTCATTGTACCCCGAAACTCAATAGGGGATATTATTTTGTCAGGGAAAATTCAATCTTCGAGGTCAAACCTCAAGGGGGCATGGGTTAATTAGTAATACTCGTGGGGTTTTATAACTTTATTATAGCGAGTTGTTTCATAAGTTACCCTCATTAAAATTCCTACAACACGACCCTAAAATTTTTTCTCTCTACTGCTCAGCTGCTGCCAGGATCATCCTCGATGAAGATGCATTATCCTCAAGGTCCTGCAGGAAGAGGGCAATTTGGTAATCGAATGTCTTCCGGTGTCCTTACAAATGAGCCAGCTGAGGGAGGTTCATTTGATCCTCTTATTGGAAGGAAAGTACGAACCAGATGGCCGGACGACAATAACTTTTATGAAGCCGTGATTACCGATTATAATCCAGTGGAGGTAATTTTTTGCAACGCCTTCCATTTGTGGGCATTCCTTTTTGCTCATCTAGTTATTAAGGGGGTGTTTTGTTTATGAATTTTTTCAGTTCGTATTTACATCATACTCAAAATTTAATTCAACTTTAATTCAACGTTATCCTCCATATTATCAATATAGTTAAAAAAAATACCAATCCATCATTCTGACATATCACATCAAATTTAATTCACTATTCATTCACTCACATAATTTTAACTAACCATCACTTCACATCATCTCTCTCTGCTTTTACATCAAATCAACTTTAATTATTTTATTATAATTCAAAATTCCACTAACAACTAACCATACCACTTTTTTAAAATTAACACTGGTTAGACATGGCCAAAACCCGGGCCGGGTCACGACCCGGCCCTGCCCGCTGGGTCGCCGGGCTAAAAAACACTGACCCTGAACCGGCACGGACCTATACTCGTGCCGGGTCCGAGTCCGGGCCGGGTCGTGTCCGGGCCGTGCCGGGTCCGGGCCGGGTCCGTGTTTTTTTTAAAAAAAAAGGTATAAAAAAAGAAATTGAAAAGAAGGGTCATTGACCCGGCCCGGCCCTGACCCTCCGGGCCGGGTCATGAAATGTATGACCCTTACACTGCCCGTCTGAAATCCGGGCCGGTTCCGGACCCGTGGTCAACGGGTTTGACCGGGCCGTGTAAGTGCCGGGTCCGGGCCGGGTCAGTGCCGGGTCGGCGGGCCGGGCGACCCTTTGGCCATGTCTAACACTGGTTAACCAAAAAAACTCGTTTTGAGCGGATATATCTGTATCAAAGCACACCCTGAGTTGCTTTCTGTGTGTTTCCAGGGCCGACATGCTCTTGTTTATGACATAGGTACTCAGAATGAGACATGGGAGTGGGTCAACCTTTCTGAGGTATGCAAGCTTTTGCTCTAGCTGACAAGACTTAGAAAGTTGTTATTGTTATCAGTTTCATAAATTCATTATTTATGGATACGCGGTTGAACGTTACTCATATATGACGGTTGAACACCCCCACACACTCATTTTTCGGCATAATTTTTTTGTTGCGTGAGTTATCTTAGAAGTAAAATGTGAAAACTACATTTTACCTTACATAGCTTGGTTTTGGCCTTCAATAACACTGCGGGAGTAAAGAGATCATGCCCTCTATTTTGAGATTGTATTAGTATTTTGAAGATACATTATGTTATGACCAGAAAATGTTGGGGATAAAAAAAAACGAAATCTTTTGCATATTTTCTTTGCAGATTTCACCAGATGATATAAAATGGGAAGGTGAAGAACCCGGGGTCTCTCGTCGTGGTGGGCCCGGGCATGGAATGAGCCGTCCTCGGGATAACAATGGTCCAGGTCTCGGCAGAGGGAGGGGTTTGACCAAAAGTCAACCAAGGAAAGACTTTCCACCATCTCAGAATGGCATAGGAACCAAGGGACCTGACGAAATCCAGTTGCTTCATACCGATACTCTAATTCGAGAGGTATGTAAATGTAGTAGTGGTCTGTTTTTAAACATCAGTTTGGATAAATAGTACTCGTTTAATGAAATTTGAATCTTTTTGGTAGGTTGAGAGGGTTTTTAGCTCTGGTCATCCGGACCCAGTGGAGATAGAGAAGGCAAAGAAAGTGCTTAAGGTATTTTTTTTTACTGCTTCACCTCTTGATTAGTGTCACGAAAATGTATTTTCTTCAAGAAATACGTCACATTCTTGATGTTCTGACTTTATTTTACAAGATATACCTATTGAGAGGTTTACTTTGCATAACAAACAAGTATAAGGAGTGTGTCTGTAACTTTATATATAATTGGCTTTTTCTGTGACTACGTCTTTCGGTTAGATTTAAGATCCTTTTTCTTTTCTGAAACAGGATCAGGAATTAGCACTCAACGATGCCATTGCAAGGCTTGCTGATTTATCTGATGATGACAGTGGTACACGCTTCTGCATTTCCTATCATTTATAGTTTTACTGTTTTCAGTAACTTTTTAAAATGCGGTTAAAATTGTCAATACTTTTGCTGATTGCAAACCTTACAATGTTTTCTGATGTGCTATATCATACGGTTTGGCTCATGTAATGCCTGCAAAGAAATCAATTGTTGCATTTATTATTTATATATCTGCCTTGAATTTCGATTTTTCATGATCGTGCAAAATTAATGCTTAGCATATATGCCAGTTTTTTCATATGATCTCATGACGAATCATTGAATCATTTGGTGAATATTTTTTTGACAGACGAGGGTGGTCGTTTCTTGCACGGGCAAGCGCTGGACAGAGAATAACAATTCAACCGGTTAATGTTTTGGAGGGAAAAGGGAATTTACTGATATTGGAGAGTCTGTATCTCAACTGTTGTCTTCATATGGTGAAAATATGAATTGATGGATTGAGGGCTGGTGATGTATTTTGTCTTTAACTAACTCAGTTTTTGTAATTTTGTTTAAGATTTGTTTAGTTTCAGTGATTTAGCATAGGCCAAGTTGGGTTAGCCGTTTTCTCTCTTTTTTGTCACTTATTTGGTGTTTGTGTAAAATATTAGTGCCAAAATTAGTATGTTGAATGTATAATTTTGTTCATTTGGGTATTTTAGTATCTCTTTTGCCTCAAAAGTTTCTTTTTTTTTTTATCTGTTAGAGATTTATTTGTTGAAATAAAAAATAAAACAAAATCTTTTTGTAAAAACTATATTCATTGTGTACAATTTTTTTTTTCAATCACATGAACATAATTAATAATAAAAGTAAATGTTCTTGTATATTTCAACAAATTAGACTATTCATTTACTTTATGATAAACTAATGTTTTTTTTTTTGTATCATCATTATATTTTTATTCTTCTCTTTTTATCACTTTTCACACACATATATACACATATGTTATAATATGATCACTTTCCAACCGGTATACATATTTTTAAATTAAAATATCGTAATATTAAAATTAATATGCACAAAAATTTGAGATTTCATAGCATAAATAATAAATATACATCTTAGTTGAAATGGTCTGACGGGCCGACCGACCATAACGGTTACGTCGCTTTACACAAGAAATCAATAATTTGTAAAAAAATAAAAAATATATAGAAACTTTTAAAGAACCATAAACCGAAACTAGCGATGCCTCCTTTGCAAACCAAAATACAACAAAACCCTTGTTAACTAAAATTCTTGCAAAGAACAAAGCCATGTAACAAAAAATAACCTAAAACGACACTGCATGCATGACTTTCTTTCTGATTTTTTCACAAAAGCTCCACATTTCCTTATGCATCGAAGCCCAGCCCGAACTACCCGACCCGGCCCAAGAATTTACATCATTATCATCTTCATCGTGATTTTTCTTTGGAACTGCTAAGGGAGTGAGCCTCTTTGAGATACCTTGGTCGTACAAACGGATTTCTTGAACCACCCTTGGATCAATAATATCCATTTTTATTTTTATTTTTGTTGGCAATTTTGTGAATTAAAGAGATGAAAATGTGTATGTACTTGTGGTTTATAATGCAGATTTTTGTTGGGTTCCTTTTTCTTTTAGGAATAGGATTCGAATTATTCTGTAAGTTCTTACTGTTTTATGCATTTTGAGATTTCCTTCTCCGTGTATGATTAGAGGGCCCGAGGTGCTTGGAACTCTAGAAGTCTACTTAAAATCGGAATAACTTCATTAATAATGGTATTGAATTTATATATTTTTTATATTAATATTTTCATACGTAAAACTATATGAATAAAAATATGATATGACATGTTACAATAAAATTTATTATTTCAATTAATACTATAATTATCTAACTATTAACCAACATAACAAAATTTAAGGTCAATTTAATTTGATTAACTTAAAACTTACCACTTAACTTCAGAACATCATCATATCATCGATTTTGCACTTGTTTGGTAAATCGTGTGTGAACTAGAATTTAATCCTTCAAGCCTCTAATTTTAATCTATCTATACTTATATTAAAGGGGTAGTATTTACCAAATTAAGTAGCCAGAAAAGTCAACAACATTTATTGCATTACTATTTCCGTATTATACTATATAAAAGGATATTCTATTACTACATTTACTATCCAGAAAAGTCAAATGCATTAAATGTCATTACTATTTTGGTATTATAATATTTTATTTATTTAATTGATTTACTTATTTATTTTAGTTTAAAAAGGTAAGTATAATGAAAAGATTTTAATAATAAAAAAATTAAATACCAAATAAAAATGTACACTTTGACTTATTTGATTATATTTGGTATTTGATTATACCAAATATATTCCTATTTAGTATATACATTAAATACTTGCTAAAGTATTTATTTGTTTTATTTGTCAAAGTTAAGTATAGATTTGTTTATATTATCAAATCATAAAAAAATATTAAATCCATATTGTAAAAAAAATAAAATTTATTATATAATAAAATAATAATTAAATATTATATGGTGAACAACAATAATTAAAACTGTTACTTTCTCTTATATCAATGGATAAATTTATATGCTAAAATTAAATTTTTATTAGTATAAATATTTTAATGATATAATATATTAATTATTTTACAAGCTAGCCCTAACATTCTCATATTTAATGTTTTAAAAGATGTAGAAAAAAAACTTATAATAACTCTATTATTTTTTAGACTTAAACGTTGATTAAAAGAGGTAAAAATTCCTAATTTTTTAGACTTAAACGTTGATTAACACCATAGATTGAGAGTTTATATTTAGTAAAATTCCTAATTTTAATAAAAAAATTAATTTTTGCTATATTTTAGAATATCTTTAAATTCATTGTAAAAAAAAAACTACAATGAAAAAAGCAAGTCAGCTATATATCGATTTGTTGTACTCCTTAAATCACATTCACAATTTGGCTACAAGGAACGGAAACTCATTGATTAAAATATTATTTTGTCAATAGTCTTAATGTACAAGAGACTTTAAGACTCCACTTGAATATTATAAAAATTTTATTGAACATTGTACAATTTCTTGCGTATTATAAACTTTTATTGAATATTGCATCTTATAATATAATATTCTCCAAATAAATATATCTCGTGCTTCGCACGTACTATATATATCCCGTACATTTTTCTTTATTCATATATATAATTATAAGTCTGGATAAATAGCCTTAAAATTGTGCACCTCGTGCATCGCACGGGCTCTGGACTAGTATCATGTAAACAGCGGTAATTTGAGATAACGTCTTAGAATCTGAAAATTTATTTTGTTTTTTTAAAAAAAATCAATATATTAGCCTTTAATAAATGACTGATATTTTTAGCTAACAACTAATTATTTAGCAAGAAATTTACATAATTTAATAATTATTGATCAACTATCTCATTCCCCTGCCCCGACTTCACTAGCTGATTCTCGCGCGTCAAACACAAACGCTGCCCTGACACGTCATCTCCTTCCGATTCACAATCACCCTTTTCCCCCTTCACCGCCGCGTCCGCCGTCGCCACGTGCTCGATCGCTATCTGCCGGAGGACCAAACGCGGCATCCCCTTCAACAGGAATCCAGCTCCAGAGCGACCGCCGTCGCCCGGCGTCGGCGTCGGGAACCTCACGCTCCACCCTAACCTCACCGCCGCCCGACAAACCGTCACCGAAGTCCTCGCCCGGACCTCACCACCACCCCGGACCTCACCACCACCCAATGCTCCGCACGCGCCTGAAAACGCTGGTCCCAACCTATCTCCTTCCCCAAAACGACATCGTTTTGGATCGGCGGAAACTCGGATCTACGTGCAGATAAATCGACAATCGGATTCTCCAATGACCTCCGAACGGAAAAATCTACAGATCTGGACTTGAAATGAAGCATAAATACGGGGCTTCCCCGCCGACGGAGCCGAATTCCGCCGTCACGGAACCGAATATTCCGGCGCCGGTCTTCAGGGACATGCCGAAAGTGCGGCGGGGGTCGTTCGGCCTGTAACTGAACTTAAGCATCGAACCCGACCCGAGCCCGGCGCCGAAGCTGATGCAGAGCTCGTCGCGGTCGCCGGCGGAAATCGCGGCGGAGGAGAAGGGGAGGCCGAAGATGGGTAGGGGTATTTTGGCCTTGATAATTGGGGGTTTCGGGTACTCCCGGAGCGTGAGCGAGGCTTTCATGATCTTGGTGGGTTTCTTTTTTCTCGAGCTAATTGCAGGCGAGCTTTAATGGAGGTGTGTACTCTGTGCTTGTGACCTGTGATTGGTAGCTGAGATTGAGCTTTCATGGTACGTGTTCATTTTATCATCTCATATACCATGAAAATGTTGTTGGGAGCTTTGATGAAAGTTCAAACTCAAAGTTTTGATATATGATCATTCATTCAAATTGTGGGGCGGTACAGTGAAAAAAAGCACTCTTTAAATAACTAGAAATAATAAAAATAAAATAAAATTGAATAACCGATTTTTGGCTACTGAAATGCACGGTTCGGGACGATTTTTCGATTTTGACTCGATTTTTTGCACATTTATATCCAATTTGATGTTCTTCGGTGCAAATCCTATGGATCTAAAAAAAAAAATAACGAGTTTGTGAACTAAAATATAAACGAACCGCACTAAAATGCATAATTAGTTTCTCAAATTTTCTAATTAATTTGATGTTGTTCGGTGTAAAATAGTATCGAATTGAATAAATTAAAGATCGAACTGCGCTGTACTAAAAAAACCAAAACGCAATGTAATTATTATAATTAAATAATAACAATCAATCATTAAATAATAACAACTAATCATTTTTACACATCATATCAATTTTAATTCACTATTCATTTGGCTCATATAATTTTAACTAACCATCACATCATATTATCTCTCTATTACTTTTACATCAAATTAATTTTAATTATTTTATTTTCAATATTATTTTAATATAAATTCAAAATCTTACTAACAACTAACTACACCATTTTTTCTAAATTAACCCTAGTTAACTCACAAAAATTCACTTTGAGTTAATTCACTCAAATTATTTCTTTAACAAACATACCCTAAAGTTATTTTTGAGCTAAATCTTGATTTGTCTACTGATTGTATGAATTTTATGTTGATTTATTAATTCTGTCGCGTAGTTTGAGGGTTTTCAATTTTTCATTCTTCCTTTCTTTTTATTCAAGTTCACCAAAGTGAAAAAATAAGAAAACACAGGTTACTGCACAATTTGGCAAAAGTTGTAAAAACAATACTTTTTCAGTAAATAACTAAATATACTTGCTATATTAAAATGCCATATAAATATTTTTGTGTATGAAAAAAGAGCCGCACCTAAAAAGGCTACAAAATTCAAACAAAAAGCACCTCGCTCAGTTCAAAAATCTCAAACCCGCGCCACCACCCCTCCGCCCCGCCGCCGATCATGTGCCCCTCCACCCCTCCACCGCCGGACGCCTCCATCGCCGCCGCATATGCAGCGTCGAGGCCGGTCCTTCAAAACCCCCCTCGGCCGCCGCCGCCACCAAACCCACACCCCTTCTATTCGCCGCCTCCTTCCAGTCTCCCTTCCAATCCCAACCCTAATTGCCACCAATTGGCCCCTCGGCCCCCTCACCCTCACGACCCGCCGCACTTTATGTACCCCGTTGCATCCTCCGGTCGAGGGTTCGTATCCAGGCCTCTGCCTGTGCCAGCCGCCGGATCCTCCCCCAGGCCGCCGCCGTTTGTTCTCCCATATTTTGAACCGGGTCAGGGAAACCCGGCTTTCTTCAGGCCGAACCACTTGCCTCACGTGCTATTCGGGTCCGGGCCGGGTCCCGCGGGTAATGCTTCTGGTGTAGTTAGAGGGATTTCAGCCTCCCCCTTGCACCACCCAAAGGTACTCTTTTTTTCCACCTTATGAATATTTCCTTTATTTTGTTTCTTGTTCAGAGTTAAATTTCGATGAACTAGTTTTGGGTCGTGGGTTTGTTTGCTTTGTTGAATTAAGCAAGTATTTAAGTATCTTTTATCTTTCTTGAATCTATGCANAAAAAACTTACGTGGACTAGTTAGATAGCCTATGTTTAACAGTTAATTTTAACATAAATTGTTTGAGAATCATCAATGGGTCTAATTTCTCACTGAGCATAAAACCCCTTTCGCTCGATTTCTAATGGTAATGTTGGAATATTGTTTAGGCTGCTCCACCTTCTACTTCAATCTCAGATAAGAATGGACACAACAGTTTAAGGTAAAACTTTTGTTTTACATTACTGTTTTCTCTTAGTTTTTGATTCTAACCACTTATTTTTTACTATAATGCTGATTATGATACAAGATTGTCAAAGTTCTTATTCTGTTTGCAGGGATAGAAATAGGGATGATACTCTTGCAGTTGTCAAGGATAGGAAGGTAACTATTATGGTTTATGTTCGTCTTGCTCCTGGTTGGGTCAAATGACATATCTATATCGAGAAGCACCATAACATGTCAAAATCATCACGAAAAGAAGATATTTTTTTTTTCATTTTCATTTTTATTTTTTACATCTCTTTCAGCGATATGCGTAATTTGTCATTATTTCTTAGTATTCATGTTGGTGAGGCCATCTTCCTTCTGTTGCAGGTCCGGATAACTGATAATGCATCACTTTATGCCCTCTGTAGGTCATGGTTGAGGAGTGGATTTCTTGAAGAAACTCAAGTATGTTTTTGGAAACTTTGGAACCTTCTTATTAGTTATTCTCACAAAGTTTTACCCTTTTGACTCTTCCAAATTGCCTGTTCATATTGATTCATGGTATCTATAGGATGCCTATGGGGCTATGGGTCATGGGATGACAATTATTTGATTTAAGCCGTCCTTTTGTCCTGCAGAGTAAATCTCTATGTTTACCAAGTAAAATTTATATGGGAGACCCTTTTTCAAATTTCAGTTAACCCCTGCCATTTCCGTGTGCCTTCAAATTATTACACATTTACACCAACAAGCTAAAGTTGTGTGAATTTTGATAACGCGTCATACAGGAATTTGCATCTATCTCTTTCCAGATATTGCATTATATCTGCTCAGATATTTACAATCTGAGCCATCATAATATTGACTCCGTAATTATCTTTCTTGAATGAATACAGTTTGACCACTCATGAGACCGTTAATGCGATTTGAAGAACAGTAAAATTTTGTAAGACTGGACTATTTCTGGCCATTGTATCTTGGAGTTGGTGGTTTTAATTGTTCCTTCAATTGAGCGAATGTTTTGAAGGAAAGTCGACTTTTAAAAAAGGAGTATAGTTAGGGACATCTTAAACAGGCAAACAGCAAAAAAAAGGACTATAAATTTGAAACTAAGGAAGCATGGAAGTTGTTTCATTTCGCAAAATTATGGTTTATTTTTTCTGAAAGTGAATAGTGTAATATGCGCTGAAATTGGAAGAGATATGCATATCCACTGTTAGTTCATTGTTTTCTATTCTCTCTTATTATCTGGAAGTATGCATTTTTGCTGTCTATTTTTTGATAATTCTTTGTAAGATGTTAAAGTGGATCTTTTGAGTATTTTGATCATTGGTCGATTGATGTCTACATTTTTATCTAATATTCTTCTCTTCAGAAGCCACCATACTTGGATACCGTCAAATCTCTTCCCAGACCTTTGCCTGTAGCTGCACAGGGTGTTGATTCACCAGATAAAGTAGAAAACAAAGAAGACGAAGATGAGGTTGGCAACTGTAAATACATCTCTCAGAATGATTGTTCTTTTTTCTGTTTTCTTTTTCTTGGAGCCAGAGTTACAATTTTATTAAGTTCAGGATTGATGAAAAATATGGAAGAACTTTTTTTTTTTTTGGTGAAGTGAAGCTCTTCGATTCGTGTGATCTGATTGTGAAACTTGGCAAGTTCAAGATATTTTCATATATGAACATGGTGTATATTTGTGATAGAGCTCTTGCCAGTTTCATTTGCGTCTTAACTTGTTCTCGTATGGTAGAGTGTAACAAGTACATTGGCTTGTCATTTAATTCCAGGAAGAAGGCTCTATTGAAAATTTGTCCGAGAAGGAGCTCTTGCAGAGACATATCAAACGTGCCAAGAGGGTTCGTTCACGGTAAGTTGCTAACTCTTTCAGAATATAATATGTGGTAGTGT